CCGGGCTCCAAGCACATTGCTGTCAAGTATCGCTTTGTGCAAGAGAGGTATGAACGCAACCAGCTCGATGTCCGGTTCTGCGGGACCAAGGACATGGTTGCTGACCTTCTCACCAAGCTGCTCAATGGACCGAGCCATCGTCGTTTGTGTGACATGCTCTTCCGTTCTCAGCTTGAAGGGGAGTATTAGAGGCACAATCTGAGACGGTATACTTTACCACGTTGTGTGTCCTCTGGTACTTGATGTTGTCCCACCTTGTTGTGTAACATCTTGCTGTACCATCTTGGTGTATCATCTTGTTGTGGCATCTGTTGGTCCCAACAGATTGCTGATATCGCTTCCACCTGTCTTCAGTGTGATAGTCCATTCTCTGTCTCCACTGTGTGTGTGTTTCCACCTGCTATAAATGGGAGCGATCTCCCTGGATCGGTACCATTTTCCTTCTTGACCTCGGTCGTTCCACTTCCCTCGTTCTGTCTTGTTCTGTCTTGTTCCTTCGCCTTGCTTCAATCCATGTTCTCGTATGCACTTCGATTGGTTGGATACCTCTGTGACAATCGCCTTGTCCACACACATAACACTGTACTGGACATATACCTTTAATATGCCGGGCGAGCTTGAGCAGCTCGCAGACACTGATGCGAGACCCTACACACTGTTGGGGCCAAGCGCCACGCATAATCTCAAGCAGGTCGTGTCCAGCCGCATGAAACAACGCCTCGGTCGCTCGCTTCAGATTGGCACCACATCGGGAGCGGTGTTGACTGATACCAGCAGCTTCGAAGAAGAGGTGACACTTGTTGCACTGGGCGACCAATTTGGCCTCCATCACCTGCTTGACCAGATCAGTGGCTTGCTCGTCGTAGGGGTGCTCGCGTAGTACATGATTGACCCAGGCTTTGCGGTCAAGGCGGGGCCCCTTGCATTTGCAAAGCCCAAATGGGCAGGCGAGGAGTTGCCTGTGGCCAGATGTCTTCAGCAGGACCTTGCGCTGGGCATCCAGCA